CAACTGTAATATGCAGTGAGGATAAAAATTGTCGGTGTTTAAACTTTAAACCAATGATTAGTGGCATAGTTGGAGAGAAGATTGACATAGTTCTCTAGTTAGTTGAAAGTTGGCAGACTTCCAAGCAAACCTTCCAATCAGCTTAGTGGACACTTAAATAGACCTATTGTTGTAACTAAAACCCATTGGCATCTATCAATCAGCATACATTTGTTCTTCAATTGGATAAAAAATGCAATATAGATGATTCAAAACAATACTATAGTAAGAGTTGTACTCGTTATCAGAACACTTGACTCGGTTAATAGGACATGCACATTCATTTAGAGTGCGCAAACCCTACCTGAAAACAAGAAGAAAAAGAGTTGGAGAGCATAGTCATCCAAATTGCTGAAGAACATATCCTGAGCAGTCAGTGCATTGTATTCCTCCTTCGTTGGACCAAGGATAGGTTGTATGTCCAAAGTTTCGGGTGAGATTATCATTTGAGGCGAACATATTACATCGGAAACAACCTCCACCCAGCTACAACCAGGAACTTTGTAATCACAATGGTCTGTCATCATTTTTCCTAATACTTGACACATCTAGCCATCTTCCTTTGGAAGCATACATGTTAGAGATAAGAGTATAAGGCTCCAAGGCAACGAGCTTTTCTTCAGCTCATTTGACCATATCATGTGCCATGGATGCTACATGCCCCTATGAATGCTAAAAGCCTCATCGACAAGGCCAGCTCGACCAAGCAGATCAACAAGGCAAGTGTAGTGCACTGAATCTGGAATAATTCTATATCATTCATCATTATATTGAAATAACAAAGCCCCTCATTCACTAGCCCCCACGGCTACATGCAGAAGAACAGCAAGAAAGGCAATTAGATCTGGATTTACACCAGTTGCTAACATTTTCTCAAACACTTAATACTTTCTTTTGAAAGACCAAGCGATGTCCAAGTAACAAGATCATCCTCTGAAACTGAAACAAAATATTGAATGCCCCATAAATGTTACCGCACTTGGGAGTATGCATGTATTAAAGCGTTAGCAACCGATAAAAAGGACTCAAACCCATTTTGACTACATAAGTGTGGACTTGCAACAATTCAGCAGAGGTGGATAAATCGCCACAAGATTGAATTATGCTTGACACAATTAATTCATCTGAACAGAAATTTTGTTGCCTCATTTCAATAAGAAGCTTCTCCATGTTGTGCATAACCCACAATCAGAGACACAACATTTCTGGCAGTCATTCCATCAGAGGCATTTCGAGTATCATTCAAATTTCCATTCTTTACATACATATCAACAAGTGCACTCACCACGTGAACAACTAAATCAAATCCAATTTTAATAATGAGATAATGAATCTGCCTTCCTAGTTCATAAAATCCCCAACTACAGAAAGATTAAGCAAAGAACAAAATGTAGAACCGTCCCCTTTAACACCTTCATTCATCAAATCAAAAACCTCAAAAGTCACTCGTGTTAAGGAATCCGAATAATAACAAGAAACCATCACATTCCAAAACACATGTTGCTGAATACAACTATCGGATAGAGCAAAATCGCAACCGATAATTTGAGAAATAAAATGAAGATAAGAAGACATAAAATTTTACGTGAAAAACTCCTAAATAATAAAGGGTAAAAACCACGGGCAACGGTAGACAAATTTTACTATGAGAAAATAGGAATTACAAATTCTCTCGATCTAACAGGAGAAAAACAAAACAATTCTCTCTTGATAAAAAGGAGAAAACAACTTTCAATAAAACTCTCTAAATTCTCTAGTATTGGGAGAAAGCTATAATGATTTGGGATGGTTTTTAAGATTAAAGACTAATCTTGTAAATACGCTAAAGTCCAGGGATTAATTGTGAGATTTTACTCTTTCATTTTCAACAATTGAGGCTTGACTTTTTGACAAAATTGGTGCTGCCATCGAAAGCAATTGTTCGAACAATTGTTGCTGCCACCGAAAATGGCCTCCAAAATCCCATCGAAAGTGGCTTGGCCACTTGTTGATTTTTTCACAACAAAAACAACAACAAAATCCTATTCCCATATTCAATGGGGTAAGGGGAGGTAGGGTAGTAGGTTTCCCCCAACGCCAGGTTGAGAGCATCTTCCGTGGAAGACCTCTGGCAGTCAGAAAATTAAAAAATAGATAAAATGCAATGCATGTATAAATAAATAAATACATAGTTGAACAGTCTTCATATGCGCGTCTGTAATGGAAAGTAATCCCTGCAAATAAATCTCTGTGTAAAAATCTCTGCATATAGACAAAAACGTAAGACTCGACTAAATTTAAAAAGAGGAAACATGAAGAGAATGATACACAGAAGTCAACGATAGGAAGCTACGAGAATGAATAAAGTTAAATGGGTTAAAACCTAAACTAAGGCAACACTACTCCGCTACCCTAGTTTTAAGCCTTCATAAATTCCAATGCCAGAAACGTATAAAAAGTATAATTCATGGAAATTACTACAAAGGCATTAAAAGAAGACAGAGATGATACACCCTATGGATGTGACACGCACTACTCGGTTACTCTGGTCTTAAGTCTCCATACTTTCCTATTGAAGGTCATGTCCTCGGTAAGGGCTAAATCCTTCAAATCAGATCTCAAGCAGTTTTCCCACTTCCGCCTTGGTCCTCTCCTTCTGGCATCGTCGACTGTAATCGACTATACCCTTTTGACCGCATCCGACGGTTGTCGCCTAAGAACATGCCCAAACCACCGTAGTCTTCCCTCCCTCAATTTTCGGATATAGGCACCCCAAGGACATCCTAATAGCATAGTTGGTGTCATATCCCACAGAGTTCTACCACATGCCCATCGAAGCATTCTCATTTCTATGGCCTCCATCCTCCTTACGTGATCCTTCTTGATTGCCCACATTCTGATCCATACAACAGCGCTGGTCTTATTGTCATTCTATAAAATTTTCCCTTAAGTTTTAGAGGCACCTTCTTGTCACACAAAACTCCAGTAGCAGCCATCCACTTTAGTCATCCCGCCTTATACGTGTGTAACGTCATCATCCACACCCCATCTTTATGTATCATAGACCCTAGGTACTTGAAACAATCCTTTGAGGGGAGAACGTGTCCTTCTATGCATACTTCTACATCTTCATCGTTTTGGTTCCCACTGAAGTTTGAACATAAATACTCTGTCTTTTCAATATTGATCCTTAAACCTTTTTCTTCCAAAGCAGTCTTCCAGGTAGTCAGTCTACTATTCAGCTCAGTTTTTGTTTTAGCAACTAGGACAATGTCGTCAGCGAAAAGCATATACCATGGGACACCGTCTGGTGTTGCACAATAGATGTCATCCATAATCAAGGCGAAGATGTAAGGGCTAAGAGTCGACCTCTGGTGGAGTCCGATTTCCACGGGAATGCTCGGTATCGCCAACTGTAGTCCTGACATATGTAGTAGATCTACAGTACATATCACGAATCACCCGGATATAAGCAGTTGGGATCCGTCTCGTTTCCAAGGTATTCTAGATCGTATCGCGGGGAACGCTATCATACGACTTCTCAAGGTCAATGAAAGCCATGTTTAGATCTCTATTTTTTTTTCCTTATATTCTCCATAAGCCGTCGAAGTAGATGAATCGCCTCCGTAGTAGATCTGACTGCATAAAGCCAAATTGATTTTCCGAAATCCTAATAATCTGTCTCAACCTAGCCTCTATCACCCTTTCCCATAGTTTCATAGTATGGTTGAGTAGTTTAATACCACTTGTTGATTTTTTCAACAACATCAAATCTCTACAATACACTTGACCGAAAACCCCTTCTTCAACTAGACCGCATTTTCCATATAAATTAACAAGAGCACTGCTCACAATAGAATTATATAAAAACCCCAATTTCACTATAAAACATTGTAATTCTATGTCAAAACGATTTCATTTACCTTAGAGGAATCACGGAGCAAAGAATTCAAAGTTATGTGATCAAAACCTACGTTGTGTATCAACATTTTCTTGAAATAAGAAAAACCCACGAAGATTCAACATTTCAACTTACAAATCATTGTGTTCTACGCCACCAAGTTTTGAACACGCATTGATCGAACAATTTCTCTGCATCGGAAAATTGTTTTCATTTAACGTAAAAATTTAGCATTTGAGTTTGCAAAGGCAGTACGTTGTTCAACCCTTGTTTTATTACTCGCGAATTGAGTTGTTTCCCTTCGTTAATGAGACCTAATTTGGCTGAAATTTTTAGGGCGTGGGAATAGAAGCCGGTCGATTCAGGATGCAGCGCCGACGCCGTGTTTCTGAGTGTACTCGACGAGAGAGATGGATTGGGTTTCAGACTCAGCGCGCGTAATTGGGTGGTTTCTCTAGAGAGTGTTGAAGAAGAAGATAACTGTCGTTTGAAATGGACAGTGGAGATCAGAGGAGCACGGCATTTAGAATGCATAGGATCAGCGAGGAGTAAGTCAACGATGAACGATGCTTATGTATATATTATTTATGATTATAAATTTAAATACTTATTATTATTAATTTTAGACTTGATTATTATGAAAATAAAATTTAAATAAATAACTTAATGATATATTTCTTTTAATATATAGATGGTAAGGTGGGCGTGCAATTCGCAAAATTTTCGCCTTTTTTCCTTCCAAATAATTTTGCTTTGACATTTTAATTGGATATATGTTTAAAATTTATATTTATATTTTTGGTTATTTTTTATATTTTGATTTAAAATTATCTTTATGTTGTAATTTTATTAATATAATTAGAAGCTTTATTTATTATTTACATAAATATAGAAAAAATAAAATTCTTATGCGGTTTTGGTGCAAATGAAATCATTGCGCTCAATAATAATATCAATAAACAAACAAATTAATCATGAAAGAGAGAGGAGCTAAGTCGAACGCATACTGTTGAAGAAACCATCTAACAACAGACAAAAATTAAAATACAATTAAAATAAAATAAAAGGGGGAAAACACCAACCATCTTTCTTTCTTTCTCATCCTCTCAGGACCAAGTTTCTTCTTCGATTTCTTCCGACTCTTTCAAGTTGGAATTTTGGCTAGAAATTCTTCGCCTCTTCTCTCCGTCGCCGCCTCTAAAGGTAAAATTTTCACCTTTTGTTTTGTTGTTGTTGAACTAACTTTTTATTCACATAATTCATTTTATTCTCCCCTTCATCTATTCGGCTCTTCTCTAAATAGGGTTTATGAAATTGTTACGAACTTTTTGTTTCCCGTTGTTGTATGGATTGTTCTTCGTTTATTGTTATTCGAGTTAATTAGTGATTGATCTCGGGTTTTTTAATCTGAACTGTATTGCGATGTAGGTTAAACTTTTAGGTTTCCTTGTTAGCTTCTGATGGTTTTTGTGGATTGCCTTTATGGAAGATGTCAAAAGTACGAATATTGGAAATTAGAGTTCTTTAGTGTCTTCTTTATGGTGATTTTCATTACTTTTCTTATATTCTGTTTTTGGATAATCTGGGTTCGTTTTCCTTCTTTAATTGTACATTGTCTGCTAATACATACACCTTCTATTATGAGCTGTATGGTTGTAATGTATGTATAGGAAGCTGCTAAATTGTTAACCTCTAACTGAAGAATCTGTTTCAACCGAAATTATGATTTCTGAAGCTTTTTATTCTCAACATGATCTTCAGCATCTACTTATAATACTTTTCAGATAATAACGATAACCATCTTGACAATACTTTTTATGAAGCTTTATACTGAGCTCGTTATGGTCCTGGTCTTATTAATGTTTAGTGTATTTGTATATAATTTCCCTATATATGGAGATAGTTTAATTGTTTGTGTTCCACCTTGCTTATTTCACATTTCTGTTTGGCATGATTAGTAAGGATATATTCACTTTGCTTGTTCATGCTTGTTAAAGCTTGATTCTATTTTTTTATAAGAATTGAAGGCCTCGTTAAAACCCCCCCTTCATGATTAATGGAACTCAAAATGAGTTCCTTAATCAGCGGAAGGAGGAAAAGAGTGCCTTATACTTCATTAATAATAAAAAGGATACATAAAATTTAAATCATCTAGATAAACCCCCTTACAAACAACCCGAAAACCCAAAATCAAATGCCCCTAACAACAACACTGTACTTAGCCTATTCCAGCCATAGCTAGCCCATCTACTTCTATATTGGCTTTCCTAGCAACCCATCTAATTACACCCTCTATATTGGCTTGATTCTATTTTTGTTATTATGTTACATGTTTTTTTCTGGCTTTTAAGTTGGTTTTTTTCTCCTTATGTTTGAAAGTATTACATTCTACTCGACCTTTGATGTCAAATAACAGGAGAAAATACACCGAACTACCTTTGCATTGAGTGGATGACAAAGATAACCGTGGGATATGGGAGGCTGCTGTTGTTCTTCTCGGAAGCCTCATCTGCATGGGACACCTGTATATTATGTCAGTAATATGTTCATCTCATGAATATTTCTAATGCCTTTATTATATTATAGGACTTTTCTTTCAGACCTAAGAAATTGAAGGTGTTTCTTTGGAATATTGGAGTATTCACTCACCGCTATCCGCAATAACAAAATGGAAAAGGAAGAAGCAAATGAGAAAGAAAACAATAATATTTTTAATACCCTTAGTTCACTCTTTTTGTAATTGATTATTCCACGAAATTGGTCCCTTCCATTCCTTCTTTCACTTGAACTGGTTGTAGCACCTGTAATCTGCAACTTTGACCATATAAACGTCTGAAGTTCTTTCATGGGATATAGGGTGTGTATATGTTTGTGAAGGATGAAGCTCTTGTTCGTTTTTGGCCATTGTGCTTATATGGTAGCTTGCCTGCTGATTTCTAATTTGTTTAGGTGGAGATATCCTTTTAACGACTATCTTGATAAAAATGTTCTTTAGAGTGTCTTTTATGTATCATTCTTTGAATTTTAAAATGCCTTTCCACAGTGTCCGCCTGGATTGGAAGAGAATGAGTCTTTAAGAGCTCACGATGGGTCAGCCTCTACAATGACTACAGTTCTGGTTAATTTGAATCTAGAAGTACCTGACACATTTAGGCCACCTCCAGCACCTTTGCCATATGACGGGGTCTTAGGGTGTCCACATTCAGCTGATTCAGAGTCTTTCAAGGAAACTGTCAGTGGGGACAGTTTTCGGACGCTGTCTACATGTGAAGATCTTGAGGAATTGGATTGCAGAACACAGTCTAGTTCTTTACTTCTTTCACCAAGAAAACCAGAAGCCACAACATTAACTGAATCTAATAAATCAGCAACTGAAGAAGAGGATACCTGTCCTATTTGTCTTGAAGATAGGTCTACTCTTATTGCCTAAGGCATTAATTGCTAGTGTAAGATCTAAAAACCATGTTTGCTGCTACCTGATTACCGTATGTTGAAAATTATGCCAATTTCCTTTATTTAATATCTTAGCAGCTCGTAAGTGATAGCTTGTATATGGTACCTGGACATGCAGAGTATGACGAAGAGAATCCAAAGCTTGTAACAAAATGTGAACATCATTTTCACCTCTCATGCATTTTGGAATGGATGGAAAGAAGTGACACGTGCCCTTTATGTGATCAGGTTTTGCCTCTTCCGAATTACTATAAATCTTACACGCGTTATTGGTTACCTGCATGAGATTAGATTATAGTCACACTCGTAGTAGAGGGATTAACTTGAGACAGGGCTTATAGTCACACTTGTTGGATGCAATTTACTGTGCTGTCAAATGAACTCATGTTTTGTCTATCTAGTGGATGGTGCAAGAAAAGAACAGAAATTATAGTGATTTTAAAAGTAAATCAAATGACTCTTCAGTCTTCTAATTCCTGTGCCAAATCTCGCACTTTACGTAACCTTGCAGGTATATGTTGATGACGATGTCTACAAACTACTGATATGTTGTACTATTTTAATGTTACAGGAAATGATATTTGATCAAACTTTTGATCAATAACTCCTTATTCAAGATGGAATTCTTTTGTTGTTTGAGAGTAAAGCTTTCCACTAAGGACATTGCAGTTGCATGCATATTAGGTTTCGGTTTTGCAGCTGGTCGGGCGGTGTGCCCACAAGATTGACTTACCTTTGTTATATGAAAGGTTGCATGTATTCAGGCTGCCATATTTTCATCGATTCTTCAAGGCTTTGACTCGGGAGAGATGAGAATCTGATCGACACAATTTATGATGCAACTCTGGATGTTGATGCTGCTCTTCTGTGGTTGAATATTTTGTCGATCAGTGGGAGAAAGATGGTGTAAGCTACGAGGTATTGAAGGGGTTAGAATCAGTTTCTGAAATTGAATGTTGTATGCTACCTTTCTTGTTTGCAGAACAGGATGAGTTTACTTGTTAATATTATCTATCATTTCCTTGGTTTTCTTCTCCCTGTTTCTGTATTTGAGTACCAGTGTGCTACCTTTCTTTCGCTATGGTTTTGTAAATACATATATTTTGGTATTGAAATGGATTTATGATTTTGGATGCTCGACGTGTTAATCGAAATATACACTTCATATGAATAAATTTGTCAATCTTAATAGTTAATATTATATTTATCAGCTTTTATTATCATCTTAATATATTAGATATTAGTATTATTAGTATGGGTAAATTACACATTTAATACTTAAACTATCAGTTTTGTTTCGTTTTAGTACCTAAACTTTCATTTGTTTCAAAATTATATTTAACGTTTACTAAATTATTTTTTTTAGTATCTCGCCGTTAAAAACTTAATGGAACTATTATAACATTATACTTTATTATACTTTTTTATGAGTAAATTATATCATTCATCACTCAATTATCTTTTCACTTCTATTTTGGCCATCGAAGTTTATTTTTTAAATTTAATTATTTAGCTTTCAAATTACTCCTAATTTAATCACTCTAACTTTTAAATTTAATTTTTTTTATTTTAATTATATATTAATAAAATATAAAATAATGTAATTTCATAAAATTATTAATAAATAGATTAGAGTGATTAAATCATGAGCAATTTGAGAGCAAAATATTTAAATTGAAAATTTTTATACTTTAGTACCTAAAATAGGAGTGAGAAGATAATTAAGTGATGAATGATGTAATTTACCAATAAAATTTTAAGTTTTTAACGGTAGGATACTAAAATGAAACAAAAAATATACGTTAGATATAATTTTGAAACAAATAAAGTTTAAGTATTAAAACGAAATAAAATTGATAGCTTATATATAAACGTGCACTTCATATTTTAGAATGATATTTAACAAAATAGTCTAAAGGTAAATTTTCTCTGAATAACTGAGAATACGTCTGCAGAATGCGGTAAATATTTAGAATACGGTTGTTTTGAAACTTTTATAGAGGGGAATCATGGCTTAAATGCTTTGCATAGCAGAGTAAGGATTATTTTCTAGTTGTCAGATTATGTTGAAGTGTTAGATGAAGATCCATGGATTGTATATGGCAAGTACCTTATGGTTCAGGCCTGATCTAAGTCTTGCTCTGTCTTGGAACATTATCGCTTGGATTAGATTACCGATGTAACACCCCTAATTCATATTCGACCCGAATACAAGTTCGAGATGTCACATTGATTTTTCAAACTTTGATTCTTAAAGAAAAATAGAGAAATTTAAAATTTTTATTAAAACAAAATACTTTAATTGACATAAAAGAGACCACTTAATACAAAATCGATCAGAGTATTCGTAATTAACCACTTATTACATACCAACACTCTATACACAACAAAATACCTACTTTGTCAATTACTTCTGATATGATTTTCTTAGTAATATTGTTGTTCTTGCCACTTCTATTCTGAATCTTCTTATTTCTTGGTACCTACGTGTAAATCACTTACACGCTAAGTCATAGACTTAGTGAGGCAATAAATGAATATGCAACAATATCTTCATGAATATGCATTCTTACCATTTCCTTTATGACATTTCAATATGCATGTATCTATTACACAATAACATATATAATCATATCATGCATGTACGAAACTTACCTTCTTGTACCACTTTCACTTTACTTTGTATTTCAATTGCCCATGTATATTATTGAGAATAGAGGTATGTGAGTACATGGAGGTTGTGCACTAATGCTGTCACCACAGCTCGTATCAATTCCCTCATGGGGCACCGAACCTTAGTTCAGTATTCGTCCCGAAGGACTGTCATATATGTCCCGTAGGACCACTACATCCCGAATGACTATTATACCCTCGACTCTTAGCATGCCAATTACACCTATAGCTCTCATATCGTATACTATGGGCATTATTCTTATATTTAATATGTTCATGTACTAATGTCATTTCTCTTGTGATCATGTAGCTCATGTCACTTACTTCATGTCATGTTCTCATATCATATCATATCACATGTATTTGAATCTATTAATATATATCATTTATCCAATCACATGAACATATATATGCCTTATGCATGTATTACAATAATTATCATGTATGCATGTTCAACTATTGTACTATGAAAATCAATATAGGGATTAGACTTATCACAAGTCTTATTCCATTATACTATACATAGAGTATGCACTCACCTTAGCTTTGTTTTGATTCGATTCTAATCTTTTGATCGTTTTGGATATGCTTATTTTTAGTATCTACATAATCACACATGGATCTATATCAGTATTATAGCTAATATACTCTAATGGTTCACTCTTTAGATTAAGATAAATGCCAATTTTCTCTTTTAATGAAAGTATGCATCGGTGCATAAAATGTATTCGATGTTTTATTATTAATGGGATGCATCGATGCATGCCTTATGCATCGATGCACTAATTGCATTCGATGTTTTTATTTTAAAAGAGTGCATCGATGCACTACCTGTGCATCGATACACCTTCAAACAATTTCTGGGTTTTAACCTTGATGCATCGATGCACTATGAATATGCATCGATGCACTCTGCCCAGAATCCTCTTTTTGAACCCAAAAATTCATTCATTTTGGATTAAATCCTCCATTTTTAATCCCATTTTTTATTCTTAACTCTAGTACACATCCTTAAACCAATTTATACTCATTTATTTCATCTTAAACCTCCAAATCCTATCCCTCATATGTAATTCAAGAATTACATCAATAATTCAACATGTTTGAATTCCACTTTTAACACTTCGTATATCTTAACTAGATTGATGACAAGTCAAATTTAACTTTCAATTCTAGTTATGAACTCTATTCCAAGATTTCATTTAAGAACTTCAAAACTTAAATCTCTCCTAACTCCATCATCCTTTGATATTAAGATAACTTAAGCTTTCCTTAAGCTTAGTTATCATCTAACAATCAAAAACCAATCTTAAATTTAACAAGAAACTCAATAATCAGAAATTTTACCTTTGCTTTGGTTTACACACACAAGGAAGAAAGAAGAAGAAAGAGAACTCTGGAAGCCTTGGGTGTTTTCTCTCCTTCCACCCACGTGTATCCTTATATATATATACTTATCCTTTCTTTAATTATTTTTCCTTGCAATTACTCTATTGTCCTTATATTCCTTATTCCTTTCAATTCCATCCTACACAAATAATTTACATGTAAATCTTTATACTATTTATTCATTTTATTTTAACCACAAAATTCTGAGACTTTACAATTTAGTTACTAACCCAGTATTGAGGATGTTACAACCGAGTCTTCCATGATACATGTACAAGAAGAACGTGCTTAAGGAGATTGGAGAAACGGTGGTGCAAGCTATTAAGATGGACTATAATACCGACAAGGGCCACTGGAGAAGGTTTGCTCGAATGACCATCTTAGTGAACCCCTTAAATCGAAATTTCAAATTGACGACTGTGTTCAAAGGATCGTGTATGAGTCGCTTCTGAGTGTTTTCATTTCATGTGGTTGTTATGGTCATCTAAAAGATAATTGTCCGTCTTCTTAAACCAAGGTTCGTCTACTCAAAAGCGGTTCAAAATCCTCCTGCTGCGCCGGAATTATAAAAAAAACTACGACCCTCGGATGGTTGTAGAACGTTAAAACCTGCGTCTAGCCTGTAAAGAAGGGAACAGATCCTACGGAATCCAAGGAAACCAGGATAAGCATGGCAAGAAAACCCGAGGATCACCTTATCAAACCTGAGTTTGGCTAATAATAATAATGCTGAAGAGTTTACTTCCATACAAGGTAAACCTACTGCTAAATGCAAGGGTAAAGAAGTGATAGTTTATGTAACTTGCCGAGATTCAAGTCTGATCATAGACACTTAATGATCTCTCTTGGGGGTACTGTTACATGCAGGGGTTCCCTTCTATTTTGTTTCTTTGTAGGATGAAATCAGCACCCTTCTTTTTAGGACTTCATTCAAAAACATTGGAAGCATGACGGTTCTATCCTAGACAGGTTACTGCATCTTGAAGCAGAATTTCGTCTTCATTTAGAGAAAATCCTGGATGAAGATGAATTCTTATGGATGCAAAATTCTATACAGTGAATGACTGTCTTTAGGGGATCATAATACCATGGCCAGGAGAATATATATTAGAATATCTGATTCGAAAGTTGATAGGGATCGGTGCTATGATACTGACATTCTCATGGCGGAGGCCATCTCTTATTATCATTGTGTATACGTGCCATAAAACGATTCCTAAAACGATATTTGAACTGTGTGTTTTCCCTATACTAAGTGTTGCTTTTCACCGGATATCACGTGCGATATATCATAGCTATACAACACTTATGTATTGATTATTTAAAGACTTTGAACATGGAGGTACGAATGAATTTGATTATTAGAAATGTGTGTTCTCACAAAATGGAAGGATGAGATAAGATTAGATTGTTTGTAGATTATTGACCATCAGATTAAATCTAATAATTATATATATATATATAAGACATATTTTAACAGGTAAATACACTTAACATGCATCAAGATTTAAACATATAAATTAAAATATGCTTTAATATATATTATTTGATGATTAAGAAAAAATTTAAGAATTTAGTTTAAGATTAAATTTATATTTTAGGATATTAAGTTTCAAAACTTTATCTTCAGTTTCGATATTCGAAGGGTGAATTTCAAAATTTTCTTACAAGTTTTGAAACTCATAGATTCATTTTGTCAAATATTGTATTTCCGAACCTCCTTTGATGATGTGTAATACTATATAACCCTATTATTAATATGGTTAGTAATTTAAGCCCTAAATGAATGTTTGATGATTGTTTGAAAGCTTGTCTAATTTAATTTCGATTCGATGTTAACTAGATTTTGACTAGTTAATGTGACTTTTATATGATTTATGACTAATCCAGGTTTGGAGTATTACATTCCTAGCCCAGCTCGGTGGCTAAATGTTGGATGTTTGTACAAGGGGTCCGGGTTCAATTTCTTGCATTTGTAACATGTGTGGAGAGATAAAACAATGTAAAAATCAAAAATAAAATTAATATCGTTGTTATTTTTTTAATGGTCGTGAACAAAATAAAAACAATAATATTAATAACGATTTTGTCAAAAAATAGTTTAGTGAGCACTAATTTTAATTTAGGTTTTAATTATAGCACATAATCATTAAATTTAAAACATAGGATGACATGAAAAATTATTTTTTATTTTGGTGATAACGTAAAGACTGAATGGTGCAAAAAGTTGTAGTATCGACTTTTACGATTATTGAAAAATAGTTTTCGCATTCTTTTTTTATTGAGTGATCGGGGTTAAGGTCTATACACACGAATCATCGTCGTATGTGTTTTTCTAGACAAAGTTCATGTAATTTTTTTTCTTCTAGTTTGGTCCATGCAATTTTTCTTTCATTTTGGCCCCTATGATACAAAAATGAAATATGATCTGCTGATTACCTCACCAAAATGCAAACCAACTCAGATGGTTCTCTCAGCGTTATTCCCAACCTGTCTCCCTAATTCACTGATGTCGTTTTCAGAGATGCTTATATCCCTCCTTACTGGAGGACCAAGAACCCTTAATGTAAAGGCTTTTGCCTTCTTACTATTCTAAAACGAAAATATCATATTTCTCTAAATATATCTCGAGTTACTTTATTTACTTAATTTTATTTTTCATTCAAATTATTCTCCTAATTTAAAATGTTATAGATGACTTTTTTTATAAATAAAATTATTTTAAATTTCAAGAAATTAATATAAACTTTAATTTTGTAAGAGTGTGTTTAGATTTAAATATCAAGGAGTTTCAGTATTATAAATGTAACTACTCGAACTCACGACTTCTGAAAAGAATAACATCCCTTTTATTATTGAGATCACTTGATGAGTTTCAGTATTATAAAGTTTTAAATTCACTAAAGTACAAATCCTTATTTAAGTAAAAATAGGAGAGAAGTTCAAAATCTACAAAAAGTTTTGGAAGGAGAACTTTGGTAGCCAAGTCTGTCCATTTACATGTGTAGCATGTGTTAAAATTTGGGGTCACATACATGAATGTCACTCAAACCCGTTCATGTACAACCTTTGTGTCATAACGACATTTTCATTTGAAGGAAAAATAAATTTTTCGTTTGGTTCTCGAGAAAGTTGTAGAAAAATTTGCAAACGAATATTTTGACAATATCTTTAATCGTTTTCAATGATGAATTTTTGTAAAATAACCTCATAGATCCCTAATAATTTCAAATTTAATAAATTAATCATTATTATAAATTATTTTAAGGGCCTAATTTTAAAAAGTAACACATGACATGTCCATCTTGTGGGACGACCTGTTGATAACATAAACCGCTTATACAAATTCCACCTGAATAGGAAAGTTAATTTTTAAAATTTGTCATATTCTTATTTCATTTAATGCTTCAGATTTTATTATATAAAAAATTAAATTTTTTTAGTTTAATACTTTTATAGAGGCATGATCTATTCACATCGTGTAAAATTTTTAGTTTTATATCTTTTTAGGATCGAGTGAAAATATACAACTGAAATTAATAATAAAAAATGAGAAGATATTCACTAAAAAATGAGACAATCTTAACCGTCTATTTGTACTTATCCAATTACCTTAAAAAGATGTAAAATTAAAAATTTTACAATTGACGTAAATAGATCTTAACGTTTTTATATATTTACTTTTTGCAATTAATTTTACATTTATAAAGTTCTATAACCTAAAGTTTTTTCTAAAGAATTTATCCAAGCAAAATATTCATGCATTTAAAAAAGGGTTAATTATTTATGTTTGTGTTTTATCCACTTTTCCTCACCGATTTTAAAAAACATAATATATGATCACTTTTGTTTTTATTCTGTTAAGATATAATCACTTTCGTTTTTATTTAATTAACATGTAGTCACCACAGGTTAACTGTCGTTAACAGTTAACAAATTAGGTGACATGATATTTTGATATAATCACACATTTGGTCTATGTTATTTATATTTTCTCTCAATTTAATCACGCTTTTAATAAATTAAAATAAATTTAATTATCAGTCAAATGACGCCACGTGGCATAATCTATATGTATATTAATTTAAAAAATATTTTTATATAAATATTTAACTTAACTTCATAATATTTTATATATATTAACTTTTAAAAATATTTTTATATTAACTTATTAAATAAATTTTATTATTAACTTAATTTAAAAATATTTTATCTTGATTTTAATTTAAAAATATATATTTTATTCTTATCTAAATTTTTAAAAATATATTTTGTTATTATGACACATGGTATAATTCGATTGGAAGATTAAATTTATTTTAATTTATTAAAAATATGACTAAATTAAGAATATATATAAATAATAGGGACCAAATGTGTGATTATACTAAAATGTTTACCTGTCACGTCACCTAATTTATCAACTATTAACAGCGGTTAGTTCATGATAACCACATTTTAATTAAATAAAAACAAAAATGATTATATATTTTGTTTTTTGAAATCAGTTAGGAAAAGTTGACAAAACACAAATATAAGTGATCAGCCATGTAGTTAACACTTCAAAATATTATCATTTAAAAAGAAAAACCAAAATTTTAAAATTCCTCATCTAAACATACCCTATATTACTTCCTTTAAATCCCATGACACAACCATGATTAATTATTAACTTAAGTCATCACATCATGGCATGGCAAGTAGTATAAATTAATGGGTTTAGAGTGTTTTGAATCCTTAAGAAACCTTTTCATTCTCCAACCCTTTTTTTTACTCCTGCCAAAGTCAAAAGGAAGGTGAGAGAATGGGTTGAGGATAGACACCAAAAGGGTCTTCAAAAAAAAATCATTCATTACTGGGTTTTCAAAAGCGCCCTCCAGGCACGAGTCGCAAAGAGACGATGAAGAGAACGCTTGTCTTGATCAGAGCGAGGTGTTTCACAAGAAGCGTTGAGGCATGCCTATGAACTTTAAGCGACGGGCGCACGTTTCTTCCGCTTTAAGGGTAGGAGATAAAAACACCAGCTACTGAAAATAACTCAGTTTATACACCAAAAGAACAAAGTAAAAGGAGACAATATATGGAAAGAGATGAAAGGAAAGTCGAAGCAATATAAACGGATAAATCTATTGAGTAGCAATGTGTGAATACACGAACCACGTTAATTAAGATGAGGAGATTGCACACATTTCTTTGCCGTACAATCCATGAATCCATGCAATGAAGTGTGAACACATGAGCCACAGTAATGGTTGGAATTAAGGCATTAGTCTAGACTGTATAATGCATGAACCATGCAGTAAAGTGTGAATACATGAGCCACATTAATGGCAGGAGTTAAAGCATTAATCTAGGTTGTATAATACATGAATTTAGCTGTATATTAGCAAACAAAAGGAATAGATCGGCTGGTGTAAAACTGCATAAAAATGGTTGGAGTTAAGGCATTAATCTAGACTGTATAAACTGCACAAAAAGAATAGTTTTGCATGAATCTAAGATTAATATGTTGCAGACAAATCAGGCTGTATAATGCATGAATCTAGGTGTGTACAAGCAATGGGTCTTGTGAATAGTAGAAATCTCTTAACTCTTGAGGATGGGACAAGTAATGGCGAAGGAATAGAGTGTGGGGAAGAGTTTAAGTACTTCAAGAGTGAACTGGTGAATAATGGGCGTAGATATTATCTAGAATTGCTTTTAAATTTTTTAGCATAAAATGTACGTCTCACATACGAAAGGCGTATGTCTACGTCTTGCACCTAAGTTTCAGGAATCTTTTACGCCTCAATACGCCTTACGTCCTTAAAAATCAATATTCATTATTTGGTAGAGTTGAAAAATAATAGAATGATCATCCTCCCATTCTCTTTAATTTCACTTTCATTTCTTATCAAATATACTCAGAATTTATTTATTTTTTCCTCTCATTTCTTCACTTTTCTATTACTTCTTACCATCTATTCCACTTTTCCGCTTAATCAAGTAAAGTCTTAAATTATTCCTATATCTAACAGAACTAAGGTTTATGATAATTATGTTGTATTTCTTTAGTTATAATGGTGGGAAAAACATCAAACATGTATGCTTTACCTCAGCATGGTGGATATTGAACATAATAGTATTGTAATAATTAGGGACAGGTAGAATTTTATGTTGGGACTAGTTTGGGATGAACTTATAAAATTATAGGATTGAAAACAGATTTTTAATAGAAAGTATATAGAAAAAAAATCTAAAACATATGGTAATTTTAAATTTTCAAGAGGTCGACTGCCTGCACCCGCCCTTCAATCCATCCCTGGTAATAATATTTTATTGTCCTTTATAAGTAGAATGGTTTATATTAGTTCTTATTAGAGCAGATCTAAAAGCCTTTGATCTTTATTTTACCACTTTAATATGTTTGAGCTTTTGCATTTATGATCTCAGAATTCTAGACCCAAATTAAGCATTTAGCCTTTATATTAGTGCATGTTTAGCTGAGGTGTTTGGAGGTGTAATTATCATTCAATCGAGTTTAGTTACGATCAAACATTAAGAGGGATAAATTATTCAAATAAAAAACAATAGTCTCATTAAGTAATTAGTTCCGAAATATAGAAGGGGCAAAATCTAATTTAAATTTAAACTGATAAGGATTTTTACAATGTCCGAGGCACTAGTTGGTTGTGTATTATGCCACCATGTGTCTCCCTCCATATACATTCATCTGTGATTTTATTTCTCTACGTTTTGTTCATGTTATAATGATTGCATGGTGTTTACACTTTGCAGAAGAACCATAAGGTGCATCCATGTGATCCCAATCTCAGAGAGAGATCGAGTAGCACAAAGCAACTCCATTTAGGGAAAATGGCATAGAAGGGACTTGATCGGTCACAGTCTTCTTCCTCCGTGAATCATATTGAATTGTGCAGTTCTGTGTTGAGTACATATTGTGACTCTGCAACTCTAGGTTTAGTGTTCAACTATAATGTCAACATTCATGTTCCTATTGGGCCACTTTTTCAAGTTGAGGTACCAGAGTGGACTGGTGGAGCTTCAGAAAGCGATGCGAAATGGTTAGGGACTCGTGTTTGGCCATGGGAAAAAAGGGAACACAAATTCATGATCAAAAGGGATCGGATCGGAAAGGGAAGACAAGACTCATGTGGCTGCCATATTCGAGATTCGATACAATGTGTAAGATTTCATGTTACTGAGAAAAGGTTGAGAGTAAAGCTCGAGCTCGGTTTCGCTTTCTACCGGTGGAAATTCAATAAGATGGGTGAAGAGGTTGCATTTGCTTGGAAAGAGGAAGAAGAGAAGGTGTTTTCATGTATAGCGAAGTCCAATCCTTTATCACCATGGGATGAGATCGGCAAACATTTTCATAACAAAAGCAGGGAAGAACTAGTTTGCTACTATTTCATTGTCTTTCTTTTGCAACATAAAACATACCGGAATAGGGTCACTCCGAGTAACAATAACAGCGACGACGACGACGAAGAAATAGGCGTCGAAGCAGAGGCGATTAGAAAAGGCATTGAGCGTAAACCTACTAAGTCCACCTCTATCTTAATTTCCCCAAAGAAGAAGGAAAAGAAGTCGAAAATGGTAGTTGAAAACGAATCTTTCAGTGGCAAAGATTTTGTTTTATGTAGCAATTTGAGAAGGAAGGGCCGAAGAACCGGTCATACATTTAGTCTATTGCAGTTCGGATGCTCTTCAAGTGTTTTTGTTTAATGCTTTTCCATTTTATATTTTTCGAATGAGTTAATATCGGATATATTAACATATGATTTATAGTTTTATATACTACCATTAAATTAGATAACATCTCATCATTTATAAAAGTTTAGCTCGAATATAGTAAAATGTAACTTGGCATTAATGAATTGCTCGACTAGTTCAGTTGGTAGAACGCAAGGCTTTTAACCTTGTGGTCGTGGGATCGAGTCTCATTGAGGGCAATTCATAACGGAGGTCTTTCACGGAAGCTGCCCTCAACTTTGCGTTGGGGGCAGCCTACTACCCTACCTCCCCCTTATCCTATTACATATGGGAATAGGGTTAGTTAATTTTTTATTAACTTGGCATTAATATAAATTGTAACTTTAGATTAAATAAAATAGTTCTCATTTTAAAATTATATTTAATAATTTTTTTTATCAAGTAAAGACGTATTTTGTAGGAAACGCCTGTGATAGAAATCGGCTAACTTTAAAAGTTATATTATAATGATAAAAAAAAGGGGGGAATGAGTATCTTCTGCTGATGTGGCAGAAGTTAATTAGAACTTTAAAGATTGCGACGGAAATCAAAATAAAAAAGAAGGGTCAAAATATGAATAAATTATAAATTTTTGTGTTCAATTGCTCAATAAAAACATGTTTAAAAGACTATATTTAAACACTTCAAAAGTCGCATACCTACATAATGTAGGATTTGAGAAGCTCGTGGTGATTTTTATTGAGTGATTGAACATACGACAAACACATATGTTGATGTTGCTTGATTCATGCTTGTGCTCATGTAATTGAGACACATACAGTGTATGTGCATTTGACCTTTTTAGACAGCATTCATATACTATTTTTTTCATATTATTGGCCCTTTTTTTTCTTTTATTCAATTTCAGCCCAAACCTAACTTACTTCTGTAGAGTCATCAGAATGTGCTTCTTACAAAACATTTCTTCTGTTACATCAATAGAATACGCTTTCTACAAAATGCGTCTTTATTTACGTAGCAGAAAAGAGTTAATTTAAAAAATAATCGAGTATATATATATGTTAAAATGAAAATAATTATTTATTAGGTGATATTTTGATTAAAAAAAAGCCTCACATGCAAGGTACGTGTATATCTACATTAGTAGTTACTATTTATTTATCATGTTTTAGAAGTTGAATTAGTAATGAATTAAGCTGGCTTGATAACTTTTAGTTCTTTCTATGTTGCAAACTCTGTTTGGTGCAAGTAAAGGATTTCATGTGGAGGGCAGGCGTTACGGGATATTCTTCTGCTCATTATTTCACCTATGTAATATAATGTGTTTCAGAAGGCTATACATTTGCTTTTAAATTGCGTCTGAATGTAGGCAGAATTGGAGTCGCAACAACCGGATATGGAACAAAGAGCAGATTGCATATTGAGAATTAATGAGGTCCTTACATAGAAATTTATCCTCTTTTTCCCAAACCTTAGTAAATCAATTAACCTGCTAATGACGAATTGAATTGAGTCATTTTGTCTTAGATTTTGGCAAAGGCTATTTATATTGTCAAATGCAAACCTCCCACACAGGTTTTAAAACCAGTAGCTATCATTAAAAAAAACTAGTGTCCTGAACATCTTAAGCCAAAAATACTGTAGTAGAGATTATAAACACTGATTCTAATTCTGAACTTTTTAGACATCATAGTTAGATGTCACAAGTGATAGAACGGACACACTTATTCAGTACATCTCATGGTGCCCGTCTCACTATTGCTTTTTCGTTCACGCAAAACAGGTCTCCACTTCTTCATTGCTATCTGCCGCCATTAACTAGCTTTTTTCTTCTCTCAAAATAGGTATTAGAACAAGGTCTCAAAATAGGTATTAGAACAAGGGCATTTATAGGTATCGGCTATCAAATAGACTAACACCTGCAAGTTGAAGAGATACGAAAACTATTGCATCGATTGAACTACAGAAAGGCCAATAGGCAATGAGGGATCAAGGAACCTATGCTAATATATGTTAAGATCTAATTGCAATTGTACAGGCCATGAAGAGCCATAAAATACAACTCAGTGATTGCAGTCAATGGCAACAATTTCTTTTTTTCATTATCTGAGGTACTATAGAATGTCATTGAAGGCTTGGTCTCCTTTTACCGGTGTCTGTTCTCAACTTTTTCACGGGATTGGCCCAACCAACAAGCCCACCATGAATGTTTGATGGGTGACCAGGCTGGTTGGGCAAACCTTGCTGATGAGTGGTCTGTTGGGTCGGTCTAGCATCCTTAGAGACTGATCCTGCACCTGGGCTCCTTATGTTGCGACCTATACTCGGAGGTGAAACAGGGCCAACTGATCCACTCCTAGGCTTTACCGTAGATTTTTCCCTGTCTTTCCTCTTCTTCTTGCAAATAACCAGCTGCCCAGGATGAGTTAGAAGAGAATCATCATTATGTTGATATTGTTCCCTGGTAATACTGCTTCCTTTCCCAAGCCTTGATTCCTTTTGGGGCATATGCACTTTAACCCTTGCGTCCTCACCAGCATGAGTGGATCTGCGCTGTAATGTCTTTGAGTGAGGCTTGAATCAGACTCCACCTCGTTTATCGATTTCTGCATCTTGCCAACTGCTACCTGTCTAGCAGGACCAGAGACGGAGGTAGATACTGGCCCAGAGAAAGCAAGTGCATTTCTAGCTTCTCTGAAATCTGTATCCGGAAATGCAATCTTCAACAAGTCAAAAAACAGATCATGTACTTTCCTAGCTTCAGATCTGACCTGCGAATCCCAATTACATTTGCATAGTAAGTAAAAAGATTAGGCCATCGATGGGAGCATGACAGAAATGGATATGAGTTCAATTGGTAGGAAGGAGACGGGGAAACTTTGCAAGGTTATAAGAGTTTATAGGCACTTGAACACAAAGTACAAATTCATTGATTACTTTGAAAGGCTTTCAAATTAATTGCTTCCAGAAAGATTATCCATGGCAAATAATCAAAACTGAGGCACGCGTGCATTTGTGTATGAGCATGCAAAGATACTGAAAGCCAAGTTAAAATTATCCATTATACCTCATGTGAAAACCCATAAAAATGCATAGAACTTTTTAGTACCAACTGCACATCCGAAACAAGCTCCATAACTCCACTGTACTCTAATCTATCAACACGCTGATCAATCTTCCGCAAATCCAAATGATTAGTCCCACTTCCAACCATGTAGCCCGAGTTTTCAATCCTCTTCCACAAATCTGTTAAAAGTGGTATAATCTGTTGGCCCTCCTTATCTATTCTCCTCTGAAGCTTGCTAATCACATTTTTGCACTGGAAATAAGATAATTTTATAGTCAATTACTTAATTCACAAATATAATAAGATAGCATGTAAGACATGAGCAATTAAATAAAGTATAAAATCGATGATGAAATGATTTCCTAAAAGTTAAAAGGGGATATATTTTGAGATACAAGCTTCTAATCACTAAGCATATCCAATCCAAGGAAAATACCAATGACTTCAAGATCAAATAACATAAAGACTGAATCTAAAAAGCTCAAAAACAGATGTACATGGCAAAACAACCAGGTAGGACAAATCATAAAACCATTATAGACGCAATAAACTTCCTAAATCTCAAAAACAAATTTCCATGCATCAAATGCACCTGACTTGCACAAATGTATGTTCAGCAAAATCCAAACCTAATTTAATAAGAGAACATTTGGATGAAATGATGCATGCTGAAAAATTAGATGCAATAGAAAGGATACAAATTATGAAAGTGAAGAAATTCAGGACAATAATAGCAATGGTGACTGGTCAGAGCCTGCTACAAGCAATTCAGAATACTAAAACAAGATTTCTAAATCCAACTAATCAATGCTGACCAGGAGAGAAGAACGCGGCAATGCTTTAAACAATTAGGGTAAAAATAAAAATATTCACACAATCCAGAGACAAGCATTATAGTCACTTCAAGTATACCTTTCTTTGGATGACATCAGACATCTTCCCACCAAAATTCGACAAACCACTTGTATTAACCAGTTTACTGTCCCAATTCTCCCTGGAGGGTTCACCAACATTTTCCGAAGTAGCAGCCATGCTCACTCGACCAGAGTTGGGTGACGCATGCAACTTAGATGTATCAGCTATTTTTCTTGAAGGTAAGTTCCTCTTAGTTTTAGAAGATGAATCATTCGGATCATGCCTGAAAGCATTACGCTCACGAGTTGGGTTTGTTTCAGTATCAATCCTCAGTTGTAATTGGTACTTATGGTCCAGCTGTGAAGGAAACAAAGATGATTCTCCACGTTGGAAATGAGGCACTTCGGTGAAAGATTTCTTTGCCCTTTCCATAGTGTGACGAGGTCGAACCCGGATACTACGCTTTCGTTTTATCTTGGGTTGAACAACTTGTTCATCTTCACCTTCCTCCCGATCATGAATCCAACTTTCAGATTGCTGGTGGTCCATGTGAGAATCTCCAGATAACGCAATTTCACCTTCCTCAAGTTCATCATGCTGCCAAGATTAACATAACATGAGAAAATAGCAGAAATCAACAAATTCCATAATAACAAATCATTATACAAAAAGGGGCATACCAGCCTTCTTGCAACAGCACTCGGCCTAGAGTCTAATGCAGAGAGAGATCCAAATTTCTGAGGAGAAACAGGAGACACCATCTGTATTGGTCTCTGACTGTCTAATGATGATCCTGAAGAACCACTTTCTTCAAGTACACGATTGTTTCTAATGTGTTCTGAAGTCTGGTCATACTCATAACCATTATCACCAAGTGGGCCGTCTTCTTCTGACTGTTCCTTATTTACAGGCAGCGCACCAACAGCACCACTTAATTCATCTTCTTCAAATTCACCAGTTTCTCCCTCTTCATCATTAGCAGAATAGCCATTTCTCTCATCAGAACTTGCCTCAGAGTATTCTCCATTAGTATCCTCTATTTCCTTGTAGTTAAGACGCTTTTTTCCCTTAGGTCGCCCCCGTGTTCTCT